ACAACTGTATAAAAAATTATGCAAAAAATAACATTTATCATAATGCAACAATCATGACTTCAAATCAATTCTATAAGTATGTATATAAACTTTGTCAATCTGCTGTTGAGCACATCAACACATCAATATATAGATTTACACACGTCTGCAAGCTGAATCCTGTATATTGTCAAACACTGAAATCAATTACTGCATGTATGTATATATATATATATATATATATATATATATATACACATACACATGCACACACACGCATACACACACATATATTGTGTATTTAGATAGCAATCCTTCATTTATGCATGTTTCATTAAAGATGACAGATAAGGGACTGCAATTAAGCTTTTTTAAAATTTTTCTTGTGTTTTCTGTTCTGAACACACAGTGTGTAGAAACGATCCAAATGTCCTGTAATTCCAAGTGCTTTTGCCTATACTTTTGGCCATTATCAAGGATAATCTTATTTTTTATTTTAACTGGGTGTATAGGTTCTGCATATGTTTCTAGCGTTATAGGGATGTTTTATTTTCCAAACACAGTTCATTGTGGCTGTTAGGAGTTGTTGTAGTTAATATTATTGAGTGTTGGCTTTTTCTTTTTTATTATCAAGGCTTCCATTATTTTTAATCTTTTTTACATGTGGATGAGGTTATTATGTTTGTGTTTTTGTACTAGTATGTTTTAGGTGGAGTCTGGTAAGTGTGTATATGTGTTTAAATGGGTTCTAATGGATCTGTGGTTGGATAACGTAATGCATTTGGATAGACATGTGGTAGTGTGACCAATGATATTATTTATGAATATGGTTTAATCAGGAACACAGTTACATAAAGGGCATTTGAACTCATAAATAATGTTTGTTTGTTCATTATAATTTTGATTTTACTGTGTTGTGTCACACATAAACCAATGGTTTCTGTTATAAATTATAGGCATATAATTTATAACAGACGCCATTGGTTTATACCAACAGCTTCCCATACTTAATACATGTTGTTTTTCATTCTCGTGTGGTCATGTGTGACGTCACAAGCTGTGATGCGATTTTCGCTTCCGTGTCTCGTATATACGAGTTTGTCATTACTTGAAATTTTCATGCAGCAAGGGTGGATTATCATTGTTGTTTTGTCCGTTGTTGTTTGATTTATTGAAATTGCCATCTTTGATAATGGCTTGTGTAAGCTGAAAGCTTAGATTGGATTTAAACATGTATCAATATCGTGTTTTCCTTTCATCTTTCAATCATAATGTGATTAAGCTTATCAGGCAATATGAAAGGAACTTACTTAAAATAAACAGACAAAACTTGTCTATATTATTTAATGAAACATGCATTAATGAAAAATTGCTGCCTAAATATACACATATATATATATATATATATATATATATATATATATGTGTGTGTGTGTGTATAAGATGTATATATGTATACATATATATATATATATATATATATATATTCTGTATATATTTATATATGTGCAGTGCTTATTGGAAAGCACTAAATATTGGTGATAGAGCTAACATATTTAGTTGAATGGATATGAGTTAGTGACTGTCAGTTTCATGCTTATGCAATCCTCAGACAAGCATGAAACTGAGGGTCACAAACTTATATAAATTCAACTAAATATATATACATATATTTAAAACCAGTTAGGTGTTTAAATATTTTTATTTTCTTGTCAGTTAAATAGTTTGGATATTTCACATCAACAACATATATATATATATATATATTGTTGATGTGAAGTTCCCAGTGAAACTGACCAAGATGTTTGTTCATTTGATTAGATTCTGAGAAGTGGGCTGAGCTGAGAAATTTTCAGCACTCTCTCACACACACACACACACACACATATATATATATTGAATCTAACTGAAGCGCTCCTAATAAAAAAAACAGAGATGTAAACTGAAAATAACTTACATTGAAAATAGTGAGGGCATCTTGTCGTCATTTTGATTAGTAAAAACAAAAACTCCAATATGAACAAACTTTCTGCTACTCCCATGCCACACATTATAGGAAAAATAAAATAGATTCGCGGAGAAAATTAGCTCTCACCATGAAAATGGCTACAGTATTAGGCAAAAATGCTTGGGACAATAATCACTGTGGACAGTTTCTACACACTCTTAAAAGAAAAACTGTGTGAACGCTAGAAAAATTTAATAAAAACAAAATATTTATTGTCTGTCATATTCAATATTAAAGAAAGATTGCTGCCCAAATATACAAGATATATATATATATATATATATATATATATATATATATATATATATATTGAACAAATTTTGTTAAACAAAACTGACAAAGGTCTGTCTGTTCAACTTTTATTCAATTTTCCAATTTCCAACTAAGATGTTTTATGCCAGTATTAAAATTGGTAAACTTTCAAAGTTCATTTTGGAAATACCTAAATACAAACACACACTCACTCTCTCTCTCTCTCTCTCACACACACACACACATATATATATATATATATATATATATATATATATATACACAGAAAAGTATGACGAACTGGAAAGTTTTTTTTTTGTGATGCGTTTCATCCATTAGGATTTCCTCGGCCTGGGCTTTGTTAATGTTGCCATGTCTACACATGGGTACAAAATGAGAGATGCAGGTAGTTTTAAAATTTTTGAAAGAAAATTTTGGAAAGAATTTTTTTTCTCAATCTAGCCGAAATCTTCTGTATTTTTTTCTCTCCATCACCTTTGTCCCCGACTATCCCACACTGTGACAATATAAAATCTACCAGGCTCTTACAATATATCACCATTCTTCCAGGCTCTTACAATATATCACCATTCTTGGTAGATTTTATATTGTCATAGTGTGGAATAGTCAGGGACAAAGGTGATGGAGAAAAAAGAAAAAGAATGCAGATGATTTTGGTTAGATGAGAAAAAAAATTCTTTCAAAAATTTTTAATCTACCTGCATCTCTCATTTCATGAACATGTGTAGACATGGCAACGTCAACGAAGTTAAGTCCAATGAAATCCCAATGGATGAAACGCATCACAAAAAAATCCTTTCAAGCCTGTCATATTTTTCTAAATACTGTTTGTTGATATATAAATTTGTGCAGAATTCATTATAATCATTCATATATATATATATATATATATATATATATATATATATATATATATATAATATATAAAAAGGCAGGATGTGTGTGTGTGTGTGTGTAACGAATGCAAGGACACAATTTTTTGACGGATTTGCACTCGACCACATGCATATGCTCCAAGTTAGCGGAAAGGCCAAGACTGACTTTGCATTTCCCAACTCCCATCGATAGTGGAAATAATCGATTTTTTCATGCTTCTACGGCAGTTTTCATGTAGTTTGCAGCCATTTTGTACTGGCCAGAGTGAAAGCCTATAGCTGGCGGCCACGAATAGGCTGGAAGATTCTATTGGCCAGTGTGAGAGCCAACAGCTGACTGACACAAATGTTAACTAGCATGCTAGCATGAAAAAAATCGATAGCTGCATTCGTCAGAAGTGGGAAAAATTTAAATCTGCATGGCACTTTACTCCAATTGGCTCATTCGCTTGCTTAAACTCAACATTGATTCTGATTCCGTAGATCTGGGTTGGGTGTGAAAAAGTATTTGTTTTTAACATTCTTTTTTCATTCAGTTTTTCCAGTTATGAGTCCTTTTTTAAAGCTGATTGTTTTGTGTTCATTTTGTTTATTTCTTCATAACAGATTTAATGTTTAGTATAGAGCTTAGAAAGAATTCATAGTGTGAGATAGGAAAGAAGTAAGGCATGTAGCAACATCAGCCCAGCAAAGGCACTCCTTTAAAGGCAAGGAAGGGCAAAAATATTTTAAGTCAAGTGATAGCGATTGCTGTATGAGTCGTACGATTTTTTGAATCAAACACGGGCAACGCCGGGCTATGCTATATATATATATATATATATATATATATATATATATATATATATATATATATATATATATATATATATTAATATAAGTAAAAGGTTTCTCAATTAGCTGATTGATGTTACCCTCAGCATCCTGACTCCAGAGTTTTGTAGATGGAGCCTCCAGGAAAACTCTAACCCACTCGTCAGAGGTTATCAGCAGTTGACTACTTATAGTTCTTGGTTTTTATTTTTTATATTCACTTTTCCTTGGTGCAAGTTTTTCTTTTTTTTATACTGCATGTCTCTACATTCAAGCACATTTCTTATTACTACAAACATTATTTTAGTGGATACCCATATTTCAGTAGATGACTATTTTTCTTTTTATAAAATGTGTGACTGTAGCATTGTAGCTCAGACCAGACCCCAAATCTATTCTCAGGGTGCAACTTCTTCCAGTCAATTGCTTGTGGCTTAAAAATAACTCTTTAACCCACAAAATAAAGACATGAGCTGATTGTAGCAGTAAGCAAATTTTATTTGGTTGTAACCTTTTGTTGCAGATGAGTGAGGCAGAGATTGAAGCATAGGTGAAGGAGTAGACAGTCTAATGGGTGTGTCTTCTTCTTGCACTGTGGTCAGTGGTCTCTCATTCCTTTCTGTTTTCTCTCTGTGGTTCTCTCTGGCTTCGGTCTTTGTCTTGTCATCTTTGTCTAAAAAAGTAACTTTTTGTTGTATATTAGTTTCACAGTGGAGGCTTGTATTTGTACAAAGTCAGTCCTAAAATAGGTTCGACATACAAAACGTTAGGAACTTGAAATACTAGTTAATGACACAGCAATCTAGTTGTGGTGGCTGAAACTCTAATGTCCGACATTGACTGACTGAGCAACTGACTGAGCTCCCTGGTGACTGCTACTACTACTACTTATTATATGTGGGAGAGTCTATTAACAATAGAATAGGTGTGTTTCAGTATAACACTTTTCAAGAACACAGTCTTATTCCACTCAGTGACTTATTTTGTCAATCATTTGATATGGTTTTTTTTGCAGTCCACTTCACTATCTGAAACAATATCTGTAACATCTTTCAGCAAACTAGCAAATAAAGGAAGAAGGTAAGAGAAGAAAGATGAAAAACGTGCAAATGAGGGGAAAAAAAGAAGAAAAGAGAAAAACAAGTAATAGAGGGAAGAATAAAAGAAAAGAAAGAAGAAAAATAAACCAATGAGGGAAGAGGGAAAGATAAAAAAGATATTGGTTGACACTGATATCCCTACATGACCCGGCTTGTTGTGGATTCAAAAGACTTAATAAAGAAAATGCACTCTTCAGCAGGGTTCAAACCTGTGTCCCTCATTGTAGAAGAAACCATGATATATATATATATATATATATATATATATATATATATATATATTATAAATTAAATGATTTAAAATATGCATGCATGAGAAACCATATATTACTAAGTTTATAAGGAAAAACCATATTTTAAATCAGTTAATTTATAATATTAATGCTCTGTAAATTTACATTGAGCACTGTTTTGTATAAAAATAAAAAATATCAAAAAGAACACTGGATTATATATCTTACTGTTCTTTCTTTATATATATATATATATATATATATATATATATATATATACACACACACACACCAAACACACACACATATATATCTATATATATATTTATACATATTTCTTTAAATAATATAGACAAGTGTTGTCTATTTATTTTATGTAAATGTCTGATAAGCTTAATAACATTATCATTAAACGAAGAAAGAAAATCACAATATTGATCCATATTTTTTTTTTTAATCCAATCTAAGCTTTCGGCTTACATAAGCCATGATCAAAGATGTCAATTACTGTACAATATATTAAGCAATATATGGACAAGACAGTAATGATAGTCTGTTATTGTTTACATGGATGATTTCCAAGCAACGATAAACACGTGCATATAAGACGCTAGAAGCGAAAATCGCACCACAGCTTATGATGTCACACATGACCACCCGAGAGTGAATTTGAGAAGTATTAAGTATGGGAAGTGTTGGTATAAACCAGTGACTTCTGTTACCAATTATAGACATTTAAGGATATTTTGTAGAGATTCCATAGTTGATTTTGTTTAGGTTAGGTTTCAACTGTGTGATGTATATATCTTCAAGGATTTTTAGTTTTTGTCATTTGTTTTCATGTTTAAGTATAATTGTGTTTTCGACAAGGATTTTATGGAATTGTGTGTCGCCAGGCAGGTTGTTTTAAATGCCTAAAAATGTTAGAGTTTTCATTCAAATGTAGTGTCAAGCATCATGAAAGCGAGTTTGTGGTATGACCAACATAAATATTATTTAATTCGTTGGAGATACAATCTCCCAAAGGGCACTTGAATTTATAAACTATGTTGGTTTTTTGCAAACTGCTAATCAGGAGAGAAGAATCATTGCGAAGAATTAAATTGGATATACTAGATTTAGTGTAGTATATGATTAATTTAATTTTTTTCTAGGATCTGTTGTTGATATATTAGTATTTACTAAATTTTTTTCATATATTTTCATCTTGTTTATAATTAGTATGCATTTGATTATGGTATAGGAGATTAATATGTTTGAGATTAGTAGAAGCAGTATTATGTACTATTTGTTTCGTACTGAGATTTCTCAGAAAGCATCTTATTTGTTCATCAACTATATAGTTTGGAAAGCTATTATTATTAAGTGTTTGTTTTATATTCTTTAGTTTACTGTAAAAAATCTGTTTTGTGGATGAATTAGTTTCTGCATGATGTATTAGATTCTTTATAATTGCTATTTTATAGTAATATGGGCATTTGCTCTTGTAGTTAAGTGTACATGAATTTATGCTGGTAGGTTTTTTGTATGGCGAAATAGTAAATTTGTTATTATTTGTGTTTATCAATATGTCAAGGAAGGGGATTTTATTATTAGTATTGAGTTCATATGTGAATTTAAAGACAGAGTTATTTTGGAAACGTTTTTGAACTTGAAGTATTTCATCTGTATTTTTAACTAACATAAGAATATCATCAACGTATCTTAGGTAGATGGATGGGTTTTTAGAATTTGTAAATATCTTATTTTCGAGGATATATATATATATATATATATATATATATATATATATATATATATATATATATATACACTCACTTAACTTTAACTACCATAGAGAAACTTTTCTGCCTGCCATTAGCATGACTGATTCTAGACTCCTGGAGAGCAACACACTGCACCTACTGGCCTCACATTTTCAACTGGCTTGAAGTGGAGCAACAGCATTGAATCAATAGCTGCATCTACTGCAAGGAAAGTTGGGTTACTGTGTCATACCAAAAAATTTTTCTTATTAGAATCCATCTTGCACATTTACAAATCTACCATTTGCCTGTGCATTGAATACTGCAGCCATATCTGGTCTGGTGACCCTGCTATTCATCTCAAGGTGCTTGATAAAATCCAAAGATGGATCTGTAATGTAATCCATCCTGACTTGACATCTTGAATTCAGTCACTTTCTCACTGATGTGAAGTTGCTTCTCTCTATCTTTTCTACAAATATTTTCATGGCGACTGCTTTGACGTGCTTTTTCTCCTGGTGCCATAATGACATGAATTTAAGCATGCTACTAGATTGGCATCTAGGCCCTACCTGTTTACTGTTGAAATAGCTAAATGCAGCTGCCACTTTTACACCAAACATTTCTTTTTTCACACTTCCTGCCTGTGGAACTCCCTTCCATTTCCTTGCTTCCCTGATAAATACAACCTTCAAAAATTTAAATGCAATGCTAATTGCCATCTTTTACCTTCTTAAATCTCAATCATCTTTTGTCCTTTCCTTTTTCCTCGATTATCCCTATACTCAGTCTTTTCTCTCACTTTCACTCCCTGTAACCCCCTGCATAATAATGGCATTTCTGCCTTGCTTAGATTGAAATGATTAAATATATATATAATGTGTGTGTGTATGTGGATGTGTTTTCACATTTGCTACCATTCATATATCTGCTCTCATACAAATCCAATCATATACACAAATTGAAAGAGTGCATCTCTGTGTATATTCAGATACACAGTATATTTGAGATTTATGTGTATGCTTATTAAATGAGTGTGTGTATATGTGTGCATTTATAGGCATTTGTGGGTAGACATCCACATGATTCTCTATGCCCATTCTTGTTTGTATCTATGGGCAAATATGAACATATTTATTTTTATATACAGGTGTGTGGGAGATTGGTGATGGGGATAATAAATTATTGCAGATTAAACAACTTCAAGTGCGACATGAAAAAAAGACATGTTCGTTTTGGTTCAACTTTTCATATTTATCAAACAAGTTGTTGATTTTATGCCAAAGATATAATTACTTGTAGAGATGGCAAAATTTCCCCAGGAAGAAAATGCATTTGCTTTATTTTTTTCCCCAGGAAAATGATCAAATCATCAGGCAGAATGTAAATCATTCACTTTCAAAACAGACGAACAAAAAGAAATTAAACATGGCAGGGAAAAATAGAGAAAAACAAAGAAATGAAGAATAAAGAAAAAGTTAAAAAGAAAAGAATTAAAGAAAAAAGAAAGAAGGGAAGGAGAGGGAAGAAGTTTTAAAGAAAGGGATAAAGAAATAATAATAGAATAACAAATGCAGAATAACAAAAGGAAAGAGAAGTTTAAGAGGATTGGGGCAATAGTAAAAAAAAAAGAAAAAAGAAATAAGGGAAGAGGGAAAGAGAAGTAAGAAGAAAAACTAGCAAATGAAGGAAGAAAAAGAGAAGAAACAAGAAAAACAAGTAATAGGGGGAAGAATAAAAGAGAAGAAAGAAGAAAAATAAACAAATGAGGGAAGAAGGAAAGAGAAAAAAAAGGAGAAAATGAGGGAAAACAGAAAGAAGAAAAAAAATCAAATGAGGGAAGAAGGAAATAAGAAAAACAAACAAATGAGGGAAGAAGGAAAGAGAAGAAGAAAAACAAGCAAATGTGAGAAGGAAAGAAGAAAACAAGCAAATGAGGGAAGAAGAAAAGCGAAGAAAGAAAAACAAGCTAATGAGGGAAGAAGGAAAGAAGAACAAGAACAAGAAAATGAAGAAAGAAAGACTGGGAAGAATGATGAAAAACAAACAAATGAGGGAAGAAGGAAAGAGAAGAAAGAAGAAAAATGAGTAAATGAGGGTAGAAGGAATGAAGAGAAAAAAGAAATACAGGCAAATGAGGGAAGAAGATAAATAGAAAAAACAAGTAAATGAGGGAAAAGGGAAAGAAAAGAATGAAGAAAAACAAGCAAATGAACTAAGAAGGAAAGAAAAAGAACAAGTAAATGTGGGAAGAAGGAAAGAGAAAAAAGAAGAAAAAAATCAAATTAGGAATGAAGGAAAGATAAGAAAGAATAAAAACAAACAAATGAGGGAAGAAGGAAAGAGAAGAAGAAAAACATGCAAATGTGAGAAGAAGGAAAGAAGAAAACAAGCAAATGAGGGAAGAAAGAAAGAGAAGAATGAAGAAAAACATACAAAAGAAGGAAGAAGAAAAGTGACGAAAGAAAAACATGCATTTAAGGGAAGAAGAAAAGAGAAGAAAGAAAAACAAGCTAATGAGGGAATGAGGAAAGAAGAACAAGAACAAGAAAATGAAGAAAGAAAGAATAAGAAGAATGATGAAATTAAGCAAATAAGGGAAGAAGGAAAGAGAAGAAAGAAGAAAAATGAGTAAATGAGGGAAGACGGAATGAAGAGAAAAAAGAAATACAGGCAAATGAAGGAAGAAGATAAATAGAAAAAACAAGTAAATGAGGGAAAAGGGAAAGAAAAGAACGAAAAAAAACAAGGAAATGAGCTAAGAAGGAAAGAAAAAGAACAAGTAAATGTGGGAAGAAGGAAAGAGAAAAAAGAAAATAATCAAATTAGGAATGAAGGAAAGATAAGAATAAAAACAAACAAATGAGGGAAGAAGGAAAGAGAAAAATGAAGAAAAACATGCAAATGAGGGGAGAAGATAAGAGAAGAAAGAAAAACAAGCAATTGAGGGAAGAAGGAAAGAGAAGAATGAAGAAGAACAAGTAAATCTGATAAGAAGGAATTATAAGAAAGAAGAAAAACAAGCAAATGGGGGAAAAGGAAATAGATGAATGAAGAAAAGCAAGAAAAGAAAGGAAGAAGGAAAGAGAAGAATCAGAATGTAAGAGATATATAGAAATAAAGGAAGATAATGAAAGCAAGGGATGAATGAAGAAGAAAGAAAGTGAAAATAAGTTTTAAATAAAAGACTAAAAACAATTATAATAAGTGGTAAATGTTTTAAAACCTCGGGTACAGTGACAAAACGATTGGCCTTGTGCCAGACTAAGTGAAACTTAGTAAATATCCAGAAGACAGGCTTAGATGAAGAAAGAAGGATTTGGCAGAAAAAAATCATGTAGTACTAATTAATAACAATATCAATGTCAATTTTTGAAGAATTTAGGTGGTTGAGGAGCAAGAAATCAGAATGATGTTCCACAGGCAAGAATGCAAGAAAAGAATAGAGCATATGGTTTCATCTAGCTAGTTCAAAAGTAAAATGGTGAGACTTAGTAGCATGCTTAAATTTATGTCGTCAAGGCACCAAAGAGAGAAGCTCACCCAAACAATTGCCATGAAAATATTTGTACAAAAGACATAGGGAAGCCACGTAAAGTCAGTGAGAAAGTAACTGAAGTCAAGATGCCAGGTCAGGATCATTTACATTATAAGCTCTTTGAATTTTTTCAAGAATCTCAAGATACATCAGAGAAAGACTAAACCAGATATAGCAGCAATATTTAATGCATAGAGGAATGGTAGATTTACAAATGTGCAAGATAGATTTTGACAAGGAAAATTGTCTGGAATAACACAATGTGGACATAGATCTAGTAACTGATTTAATATAATCACTCCACTTCATATTAATGGGAAAACATGTGCCCAAGAAGGAGTAAAGAGTTGCTCTCCTGGAGGTTAGTATTAGCTCTGCTGATGGCAGGAAGAAAAATTTCTCTATGGTGATCAAATAAAAAACAGTTTAGTTTTAGAGGTGTTAAATTTACAAGGCATTCCTTGCCCTAGTTAACCATTGATTGGACGTACTTTTTGGAAGTTATTGCTTGATTGGAGGTCCTTTTTGTGAGCACTTGTTGAACCTGTTGGACTTGTTACTAAGACCAAAGTAAATAGTTGTGTCATCAGCGTAAATTCCTGGTAGGGAACTGATGACATTGGGAAGGTGGTTGATGAAGATTAGAAACAATATAGGTCCAAAAATAGAGCCCTGGAGGACACCTACATTAATGTGAAATGAAATAGAACAGGGGTTGGCAACCTTTTGGAGTGAGAGGACCAGAAAGCTATGAAGTGTTTCAGAAAAGGGCCATTTTATTAAATTTACTATAATAAATTGTCTTGACCCCTGTCTGCTACGTCCAGAAGACTGCTTTGGTCTGGAGGTTTAAAGAAAAAAACAACAAAGTTAATGTTATTTTATTTAAACAAGTTTCCTATTTGTTCATTATCCTATCGCCTATATATATTTTATCACTTTAAACATTATTTTTAATGGATATCCATATTTGACAAGCTTTCCAAAGCTAGAACGTGGAATTTTATACTTAATATTTTTATTGACTCCCAACTGCTACTGCTGCTGCTTGGTTCTCTTTACTGCCTTTTCTCTTTATTATTACTGTTGGTGAAGTCTTGCTGGTAACAGCCAAGCTTCACCTACAACTTCCCTCTCTCTGCCATTGTTTCTCTTTCTTTTGTCACTTTAATCTTTAGAATGTTTGCCGTCCATTAAAAAATCATTATTGTCAAGTTTAATTTTCTTTGACACTTTGATGTCGTAGATTCAGTATCTATGCTGATGACACAACTATTTACTCCTGTCTTAATGTTAAGTTTGATTGGTTTGATGATAAGGTCAAAATTAGCTGCTGATCTAAACAAATGACCTACAATCTTTTGCTAACTGGGAAAAGCAATGGCAATTTTAATGTCTCCGAAGCAAAACTACTCTTTTAATCATCTTAAAGAACATTTTTGCCTTCAGTTAGCATGGCTGATACTAACCTCCACGAGAGTAACTAATTACAACTTCTTGGGCTGAGGTTTTCCTCTGACATGAAGGAGAAAGTTTATATTGAATCAGTGGCTACGCCTGCTGCTAGTAAAGTTGGATCTCTGTATCGTATTAGATAATTTTTTCTTGCCAGAGTCGATCTTACATATTTATAAGTTTACCATTCATCCACACATTAAATATTATTGGTGCTACTGCTATATAATTAGAGATTCTTGATAAAATCCAAAGAAAATACTGAAATGTTATTTATAGTGACTTGACATCTTGACTTCAGTCCCTTTCACTGTAAAGTACCTTCCCTCTGCCTTTTCTATAAATACTTTCATAGTAATTGTTCTGAAGAGCTTTTCTCTTTGGTACCTATACTTTTTGAATTTAAGTGCAGTACTAGATTGGCAGTTAGGTCTCATAATTTTATAATTGAAAAAGCTAGTTCTATGCTAACAGTTCCCTCTCCTGCACTTTTTATTTGTGGAACTCTCTTCCAGGTTCTTGCATTCCAGTCAACTTTGATCTTCAAAATTTTAAATGCAATGCCAATCATTATCTTCTGTATTCCTAATTCCTATTCTTTTATTGTTCTCTCTCCTTAATAATATTTTTCCTCATATTCTTTCCCACTCAGTATCCCTTTGTCTTATAGTGGCTCTATTGCCTTGCTTGGGGTGAAATGATAAAAACAAAAAAATAATCATGGATATGGAAAATCTTTTTCTTTACTTTAGTAACCTAACAAAAACAAAATGGATTTTATTTCTTTCTGGTAAATACTGGGGAAAATGTAAATTATATTTTTGGCAAAAAATTTTTCTATGAATTGCTTTTTCAAATCTTAAAAATAGATATTAATAATAAAAGAAGTTATAGTCTTACACCAAATGGTTACAAGTAGTAATTGCCACTGTTAAAAATAAATCTATATTACAGAAAAAGAATTAGATATCCCTTATTTACATAAAGAGCAAATATTTTTACCTTATACCTTTTCCTTGTTCCAGTATTTGTGAGGAATCAAATTTGGGGGAGATTTGCATGAAAGGGTTTGGCTGTGTATCACAAACAGTCAAAATCTTCCCAATTATTGGAGGCTTGTTTATGTGTCTGTGCTGTGACTATGCTCAAATGACAAGGCACACTGACTTACTTTTTGAGATCCTGTATCACAAAACATGCACTTGTGACAAAGACTATATGAAGTTAAACTTAGAAGTTATTCAAAGTCATCAGAAGTCATGCCATTTCTCAACAAATAAATAAGTTGCCAGCAAAATATATTTAGTTATGAAATACAAAATGTAGGGCAGATAAAGCCAGATTTGATCTCCAAAGTCCTCAGAGGTCAGTCAGTCAGTTAAATGTCATACATGATACACGTTTGGGTGATCATGTCTCTTTTGAGTCATGACTAACTAGGCAGAACATTTTCCTGCAGTAGGTTGCCATTTCTTTCTGCAGTAGACTGGTTGCCAACCAAGGCTATAGTACCCAGCCTGTCTTGTTATTATGTAGTGAACTTCAGTGGAATTTGAACTCATCTCTCTAATTTCTTATTCTGAGCCAATATCCATTATACTGCAATGCACATCCATCAGAAATCACTAAAGATAAAATTGATTGGTAGTCTTTATGATTTATGTTTCAACCAAACAATTGCATTCTTGGATGTAATTTGGTAAATGGTAGGGTAATTTATGCAGAAATGATAGGATAGGTGGTCCTAACTACTAAGATCACCATGAGAAGTTGATACATTGATTAAAATAGTTTTTTAGCAAATAAAAGTCATTTTTTTTTGTTTTGCTTGTAAAATATTTTATAGGATAAAACTTTACGTTTTCAGCTGCTGTCAATATAAAAGATAGCCACAGATATCTACATGCACACACACACACACACATTCACAGACACACACACAAACACATACATACATGCAGATTATTACTGTAAAGCTCATATTTAGTAGGTATACATGTTTGAGTATGCCTCCCTGTTTTTTAATTAGTGAAATTGACGTCAAGCAGCCTAGGGATCAAAAGTCTTAATGAAAAAAATGTGCCTTGGGAATTGATCCAGTATTTCCAGATTAAAAAAGGAATACAAGTTCAGTTGCTGTCATGAGGCATATTTTTTGTCAAGACTTTTGATTCTTTGGCCAGTAGACATTAATTTCACTGTTTAAAAATTCTGTTCATTATTTATCTGTCTCATTCTAGGCATTATCTATCTATCTATCTATCTATCTATCTATCTATCTATCTATCTATCTATCTCATTCTAGGCATTATCTATCTATCTCTCTCATTCTAGTCATTATCTATGTATCTACTTGAACATGTGTACCCACTACATCATACTTATTATAAAACCCAGGTTGTGTGTCTGTGTGTGTCTGTTTGTTTATATATTGGATTGGATTTCCTACATTTTTCAACTGATTTCAAGAAAACTTCACAGGACTACGTAAAATTACCTTGCGGTGGTTTTGACAGCACTAAAAATTGGAAAAACACAATTGTTTTTGCACAAAATCAATTTGAAAACATGATTAAGAGGCATCAGGAGAATGAAAGGGGGACAACTCATATATCGTTATACTTATTAAACCCAGGTTGTTTGTGTGTGTGTGTGTGTGTTCGCTTATATATGGGATCAGATTTCCTACATTTTTCAACTGATTTCAACAAAACTTCACTTTTTTTTTGACAGGTAGTGTTTCTTATTGTCTTGCACACTTTTTTCTTTATTTTTACATTCAGAATGCTTTAAAAATTCCATTTACAAGACAATTGTTTATAATAAAATTCTATTCAATCGGTAGACTCATAATGATTGAAAACAGTGTTTTTGTTTGAGTTTGGGTTTGACCAATTCGTAAAAAAAAAAAAACAAAACAAAAAAAAACTAATTAAGACATGCGTGTCCATCAACCTTAAACAATAATCTTTGTCTATTTTATTTTTCAGTTTTTATGATGGTCGATACTTAATCTATCTTTTACTGTTACATCCCCGGGCCACGCCGAGTTCTACTGCTAGTATGCTTATAATAATAAGAAATAATGTTAGATTAAAAAACCTTTTAATTACTTAACACTCACACACACACATACACACATAATGATTTAATAAGTGTAGCAAAATGTGGCACAAAGATGAAAGTTTGGAGCACACAATCAGGATTGAATTCACATAACTGATCTAGCAAGACAAGCTTGTTAAACATTATAAAACATCAAATTGCCCTTATCCAGACTTATACTATTTCCTAGTTTTAGTTGCTCCCTTTTTCTCTTTTTCCTTTTTTCTTCTCTCTTTCTTTCTTTCCTTCCTCTGACCATTTTTTTCAATAATTTATCATCCATTGACTAGTTTGAAAAATCCTTGTAAATTTTATTTCAAGTTACAAGATGAAAATGATCACAACCTAATGTAATCCTAATTCCTATTGTATGATATATATATATATATATATATATATATATATATATATATTTGAAAATTATAACATAAATATGTTATAAAATCACAACAAAAATAGTCATTTTGTTTCAACACTTCTGGTGTCTTATAAGTGATGGTGTTGAATGTAGAATAAAGAGTTTATTATACTGGCTCTAGTCTGTATTGAGCACTCTTTTAAGAATAGTATTTTTGGTTGTTGAAATTTATTCTGTATGCACTAATCCTATACTTGTATATATATATATATATATATATATATATATATATATATATATATACAAATATATATATATATGTGTGTGTATATATATATGATAAAAATATAGTTTCATGGTATGCTATATTTATGGGTAAAAGTGCTCAATATCATAGATAGAGCATATATAAATATAAACGTGGATGCTGAAGTCAAAACCAAATAGTGACAGTCTGTTTCATACGTGAATACGATAGTATTTGACACCTTCATGATGCTGTGCGTGGAAAGCCACCAGACATGTGGGTGGTGAAACATTAGCAATTTCACTATAACGATGTTTGCCTGCTTATTCTGCCCACATAATCCAAGATTTCCTAGTTAAGAAAAACACTCTACTTGTTTGATAGGCTCCCTACTCTCTTGACTTGGCAAAGTGAGACTTCTTCCTTTCCTCAAATCTGAAAACCACAAAAGGAGGTGATTTTGAGAAAGTTCTTCATTTTTATCCTAACAATTATTGGTCAGCATTAATGGTTATGTTTCTGAGGGAATATTGAGTAGAAATAATTGGATCCAAATGTGGTTATTTGTAGTTCCTTTATAGTATTGTTTGTTAACTTTATACTCATTATTTATCATTGATTACTGAAAAATTTGTTCTTGATTATTTTTATTACATTTACTTGTGTTTCTGTGTGCATTCTTAGCTTGTTCATTTGTTTATCATTTACTTTGTTGTTCATTAATTTATTTAGATTTTACTTATTTTAAGCTTTTGCAGGTTGGTTATCTTATATATATATATATATATATATTTTAAATTGAGTTCATCCTATGCAAGGCAGTAAATTCAATGAGACACAAGGGGCTACAGGGGTATGAAAGAGGTAGAAACAGAAACATTGCTAAGAAGCGAGAATAATATATATATATATATATATATATATATATATATATATATATATATATAGCCTAGGGATAGAATCTCCGACTGATGCCAAATTGGTCGGATTTCAATGTCAGCTTGATGTGATTGGATGTCTAGTCACATTGATGAGCTGTGAAACAGCAAAACAGTCTGTCTGCAGATGACTATATATACATATATATATATATATATATATGTATATATATAAATGAATATCGAAGGAATCATATTTTTAAACAAAAAAATATTATTATAATAAAGCTGTACTTCTGTATGGAGCACTGTCTTCTTAAAATAAAAACAAAAGTACTAAGGAACTCCGGATTATGCACCCAACGTGTTCTTTTCTATTTTCTGCATACCTGCACACTTATACATATATATATATATATATATATATATATATATATATATGTATGTATATACACTAGAGTTCAAAAGTTTGAGACCACCACAGTAATTTTTTAAATTGGCCCAAAAAGTAGTTGTTTTGTCCCTTAAATAAGAGAAAATTATTATAAATAGTTAAAACATAGTGAAACATGATTTTTTATTAGAAATTTTATTATAACAAAAAGAAAAAATACATTTTATGATTAAATTTTGCTCTTGTCAAAATATCCTCCTTCAGCCTTAATTACTGCTGCACAAATTTTTGGCATTCAATGCAAAAGTTTCTCAAAGTATAAGTTTGATAATTGATTCGATTCTAGTTTCAAAGACTCTAAGAGCTCTTTTTTAATTTTTTCATGCTTCATCCCATGTTAATTCTGTGGGTGTCTTCAAACTTTTGAACTGTTGTGTATGTATAAAATTGTGTGCATGTATACATGCTGATCCTTACTTAGCTGAGATTAGCCTGGCACATGGTCACAGTAGTGGAGCACATCATGATGAGAAATCTCAGTCCAATAACAATGGGTTGAATTGATTTGCATATTAATCATTAAGGCTGTACAAATAAACATGTGTGTGGGTGTGTGGGTGTGTAGCAGAGGCAATGAGTAAAGTAATGACCTTCACCCTTTGCAGCTCTGATTTTCTTCCCAAACAGCAGGAGTTATCGACATTTCTGTCTGCTGTTTATTTTTCATTTATTGAGCACTTTCGTGAAATTACAATGAGGAGGAAAGCTTTGTTGTAATAACAACTTTTTAGAATCAAAGAGTAAAGAGAAGAGAAATGAAATGAAGTAAAGGGAGAAAGGAAAAACAGAAAAGGTGAGAGTGAAAGAAAGAAAGAAAGAAAGAAAGAAAGAAAGAAAGAAAGAAAACAGGACGTTCATTGTGAAAGAAAGAAAGAAAGAAAGAAAGAAAGAAAGAAAATGAAAACATGAAAAGTAAGAAAGAAAAAGATATAAAATGAAGGCATAAGAAAGAAAGAAAGAAAGAAAGAAAGAAAGAAAGGAAAGAAGAAAGGAAGAAAGAATGAAAACAGAAAGAAAGGAAAAATAAAAGAAGAAAAATGAGAAAGAAAATGAAGGCTTGAGAAAGAAACAAAGGTAGAGAGAAAAATGAGAATAAAAAGAAAGAAAATTAAAAGGAAGGATGGAAGGAAAGAAGAAACAAGAAAAATGAAGAAGAAAAAGAAAATGAAGACATGAGAAAGAACGAAAGAAAGAAAGAAAGGAAGGAAGGAAGAAAGAACCAAAAAAAGAAAATGAAAACAAGAAAAATGTGAAGAAAAAGAAAGAAAATGAAGACATGAGAAAGAAAGAAAGAAAGAAAGAAAGAAAGAAAGAAAGAAAGAAAGGAAAAATAAGCAAGAAAAATGAGAAAAAGAGAAAGAAAGAATGAAATGAGATAATGAAAAAAAAAGAAAGAAAAAAGAATAAAATATAAACTATGAAGAAAAAACATAATGAAGACATGAAATAAATAAATGAAGAAAGATAGAAAGAAGGAAGAAAGAGAAAATAAAAGAAGAAAATGAGAAAACAAAAAGAAATAAAGAAAGAACAAAGAAAGGAAAAAAAGAAAGAAATGAGAAAATTAAGAAAAATGTTGAAAGAAGATAAAGAAAGAAGGAGAGAAAATAAAAAATGTGTAGAAAAAAAAACAATAAGAAAAATGTTTAAGAATAAACAGGGAAATGAAAAAAAAATGATTTGTTATAAGTCATTGGATAAAGACTGGTGGGGGGGGTAGCCTTTTTGTATTCAAACTGAAATAAAATAATTAATTTCGAAAAATTTTCCAACAGACACTTCGAAGACATAAAGGATGAAAGCAACTCCAAGAAAGCATTTTTCTTGATAATCAATATTTGATGAAGAAACTTTATTTGTAGTTTATTTCCATCAACATTGATAAAAAAAATATTAACGAAGTCAACACAAACACTTGTTTTGTTCGGCAAATATTGATTGACAAGAAACATTTCAGACTTTTACCTTTCACACTCACAGCCTGTTAGAATTACTAATTCTCTGTATGTGTCCAATTGTCACACAAACCAAATGGTATTTTGAAGGATTTATCAACAGTCTCTCCATAAGTATTTTTAAATTGATTGATTGATTTGTTTTTTTTTTTATGGCTTATTTGTTACATAACATGTGAGCAACCTCATTCAATAACCCTCTACCTTGAGCGGCTCTTGGGCCTTGCTTTGGGTGAACATAAGTATATAATAAAAAATAAAACTAGAATTCTTTATTAATTTAGAATTAGAAACTATATCCTTTGTTTTGTTAACTTAAACTATCTGTCCTCCTCTATGGCGATGAATGCTTGACAATCTCCTCACAGATAAAGAAGAAACCTGAAGCAACAGAAATGTGGATCAATAGAAGGATGCTGAGAATACCATGAACTGAACATGTGAGCAATGAAGAAGTTCTAGAGAAAATGAAAACAAAAAGGAATCTTATATTTAGCAACAGGAAGAAACTGTTGAAAATTCTAGGGCACATAATACGGAAAGATGGCTTGGAAAATCTGATACTCACAGGACATGTTGAAGGCAAGTGGGACAGAGGAAAACAATATATAACCTAGTTAGTGAGCTTGAGTAAATAAATGGGGTAACAAGTTTTAGGAGAGATAACAAAAAGACAAAATTTATTAAGAGCTACAAAGTATTAGAAGTTGTGGAGGGCGATGATTGCCAATATCCTGAAGGGACACAGCACATAAAAAAGACCAACCTTTTGCAGGATAATTAAAGCCAGAAAATATTTTTAGACTGTCAGAATTTTTGGGAGATAATAATGATTTACTGATACATGTCCTACTAATTAACACATAGTTAGGGGGAGAAGAGGTGGATCAATGCTTTTCTCAAAGATATTTGCATTTAAGTGATTATAACGAACCTGACTGGAATTGGAACTCAACTCTGATTTACAATTTCCCAGTCATTATCCATTACACTACCTGCATATCTAAGTTTACAACACTTGGTATTCCCAAGCGGTTACCCATCTAGATACTGGCCAGACTTAATGTTGCTACAGGAACAGGTATCTCAATGTAATGTTACCTTTTAACTTGAACCTTTTTTTCCTCTCATCTCTTCTTCTTCTTCTCATCTGTTTCTTCCTTTTCTTCTTCCTTTTTTTTTATCCCCCCACCATTTCTCTTTGTATCTTTTCCTCTTCTGTCCCTTTATTTTTTCTTTCCTTCTGCCTTCATCCCTTCTCCTTGTAATTACTTTTTCTTTATCTTTTATCCTCTTCCCCTTTGTATATACTTTTCCTTCCCCCTTTCTATATCCTTTTATGTCACATTTCCTCTCCTTGTTCCTTTTTGTCTCTTTACTCCTTCTTCTCATTCTTTATCCTGTCCTGGGTGTGATGATAAACTACATCTGGCAGCAATCAAGAGATTGCCGGTTTTGAGGAGTGTGGAACCACCTCTTAATTGCTTTTGTTCCCAGGTCTACCCTGAGCCAAGGTGGTAGCATTTGTTTGGGTCCCAGCTATGGGCAAATGGTGAACCACCAAAGAAAAATCAACAGTACATTTTTATAGCAAAATAACCAACAATGAATCTTTATAGCAAAATGATCAATAATATATTTTTATAGTAAAATGAACAACAATACATTTTTATTGCAAAATTACCAAGTATTAAATTTTCATAGTAAAATGACCAGCAATATATTTTTTATAAAAAAATTACCAACAATACATTTTTGGAGTGAAATTATCAGCAATACATTTTATGATCTACAATGTATATATTTAAAAAAAAAACATACCTTTTACCTTGAAAGCATAAAATTATGTTCAAAATATTTAAATTTGGCATTAAATAACCCATAGGGATTGATATGCCACTCAAGAAAATCAACCAACCGGTCTTTCTCTATTCTCCCTCACTGTTTTCTTTTCCTTTCCCTTCTCATCATCCTGTTGATCTCTTTCTTTACTTCCCATTTTAATCATCCCCTCTTTTTCTCACCTTCTCTCTCTTTCTTTTTTCCCTTCTCTCAACATTCACACTCCTCTATTTTCTCTTCTACTATCAAAACCTCTTTTTGTTCTCTTATTTTCTTTAAATAAAAATATTCATAAAATCAACCAGTCCTCCATTTTTAAATTGATTGATCATATTGAGCATTGAAACTGTTTAACCTGTGAAATTGTCAAGCATAAATTCCAGAAACAAATGAAAGTGTTTCCCCTAAAAAAAATTATTAGAAGCTTTCATGGAAAAGGTGTGGGCTCATTTTTAATTAGCCTCTGGGACAATATTTGTTATGAAGAGTTCAATATGTGGTAGGTTTAGCGTTAACAATCTCCACAATAGTTATCTGAAATATAGAAGAGCATAGTTAACAGGAACAACATTATTTTACAACATGTCTTTCATTTTTTTGTTTACTGTGTCTTTAGTACTTCCCAACTGGGAGACACTATTCTCCTCTCTAAATAACATGAAATTTGCACAAGGTTACGGGCATTAGTAGATAAAAATCTCTGATCTGACTTCATTATCACCCTGTAGGCTGGGGTTGTAAAATAACCAACTGCACACCTGCAGAGATATAAGACTCCCCCCAACTGCTGTGAGTAGTCCTGGGTGTGACGATGAACTACATCCAGCAGCAAGGCCTGTCATTAAGAGATTGGAGGTTGTGAGGCATGTAGAACTACCTCTTAAGGGCTGTTGTTCCTAAGTCCACCCTGACCTGGAGTGGTAGCACCTGTTAGGGTCCTAGCTATGGGCAAATAGTGAACCTCCTAACAAAAATCAAAACACTAGGAAAGTATAAAAATAGATTTTTATAGTAAAAATACCAGCAATACATTTTTATTAAAAAATTACTGGCATACATTTTTGTAGTGAAATTACAGCAATACCTTTTCATAAAACAAAATTACTGACTACATTTTAATAGTAAAATTACCAACAATACATTTTTATAGGAACATTACCAACAATACATTTTTATAGTAAAATTACTAACAATACATTTTATGGTAGAATTACCAGCAATACATTTTTATAAAAAATGACTAACAATACATTTTTATAGTAAAATGATCAACAATACATTTTTCATAAAAATTTACCAACAATACATTTTATAGTAAATTTGAAGACATGGCATACATTGTAAAAAACAATTTGCTATGATTAATCTGATTTCCCTTATGGAGAAACAAGTTTTCACTTCTCATTTGATTTTGCAAGATTATTTGGTAAAAATATGCAGATAATTATAATTTAATCATGAAATAATGTCATTCTCTTGAATTAATTATGAAGTTTGGATTTTGATATTTAGATTTTGGCATTAAATAAACCATACGGATTGATATGCCGCTAAACAAAAAACAAACGAAACATGTCAATTATCAAATTATCATACCAGTGACAAGACTTTTATTAAGAACACAGGGAGAAGTAAATTCATGCCTTTTCCAAGTGAATGCTAGCAATCTCAGCTAGATTTAGAATTCATTTTCCTGCTTTATGAGTCATTAACCATTATATCAGTTAGTTTCTTCATTTCTATAAGTGTTCATTTGATTTGTTTATTTTATGATTTTTCAACTTTTTGTAGGTTAATTAAATCCAGAAAATAATTTTAGATTATAAGGATTTGTTTGCGGGGAGGGAGATAATAATGATTTACTGATAGAAGTTTTTAAATTAACCCATAGCTGAAGAGAGAAGAGGTGAATTCATAACTTTCCCAATGGTATTTGTGCATAAGTGAATATAACAAAGTAGTCCTGGGCATGATGATAAACTACATCTGGCAGCAAGGCCTCTGATTGGGAGAATGGATGTTTTGATGCACGTGGAACTGCCTCTTAATCATTGTTGTTCCCAGGTCCACCCTGACCTGAGGTGGTAGCACCTGTTAGGGTCCCAGCTATGGGTAAATTGTGAACCCCACCAAACAAAAACAAAATACTATTAAAATATAAAAATAGAATTTTATAGTAAAAAATACCAGCAATACATTTTTATATAAAACAGTTAGCAAGAATATATATAGTGAAATTACCAAATTACTTCAAAGCACTCAATAAAAAAAAATTTTCAGCATTAAATAACCCATAAGAAATTGATATGCCATTAAACAAACAAATCAATCAATCAATCAATATAACAAAGCCAGCTGAAATTGGAACTCTGCTCTCCAATCTCCATTATCCATTACACCACCCACACATCCAAGCTTACAGCACCTACTAGTATTCATCTTGAGTGGTATGACTGGTACGATTGTATGAGAACTGGTTTTTCAGCATGATATGGCTGTTATCCAGTAATTGTTCATGCCCTTTTCAATCTTTACAATGAACAAAATAATTACCTGCTTTTTTCTTTTGTTTTTACCATAATTCACACAAGGCAAGGCCTAAGTGCCACTCAAGGTAA